CAGCGGGAAGCCTGCTTCTCCCTCTCCCATTCCCCCTGCTTGTGTTCCCTCTCTCGCTGTGTCTCTCTCTGTCAAATAAATAAATAAAATCTTTAAAAAAGAGAAGATATAAAGGCACCTCTTCTTTCCCCCAAGTATAAAATCAGATTATTATTAAATGTTCACATTTTTAATGATTAACTCATTTATTTTTGGCCTCCAAATTATGCAGACAATCAAGTTCGTGTTTCAGTTCTCATCTGCTCATTTCTCTTGAGAAATCTGTCATAAGCATACTATACCAGTACTGAGTATAATGCTTTGAAGCATTATATTTTAGATTGCTGGGAGGAACTTAGAACAGTAATATTTCTTCTAGGTCCTTCAATAACCATTATCTTTTCAAGTGAACTCTGATTTGTATGTACTGGCCTCCAGTATTTTGCATAGGTAAGTCTGCCATTCCCACAAACAGCAGATACTGTTTTAAGGGACTACAGATAATTTAGATTGTGTGTCTTAAATTTTTTTGTCTAATTCCTTTCTCAGAACTGTTTTCAATTTATTTTTTCTTGAGCATATTATAATTAATGTCCTGTGTTTTACTCTCCCTTTTATATCCCTCTTTCTTTCACTTAGTTGATTTCTGAATGTTTCCCTTTTATTCCTTTGATTTTTTTTCTTCCTAGCGGCACTCTCTGGGTGAAGCTTTGCATAAATCTATCAACAATGTAAGTGAGCGGCACTTACAATTTGTACACAAGGGCATGTTGCACTTCTAATTTTGCATAAATACCATCACTGCTTTAAGGCTTTTAACTTATGATATAAAAAATACACTTCGGCATTCAATAAGTTATGTTTTGTATATGGGTAACAAAAGCTTTCAGCCATTCACTTGTGTATGTGCATACATCTACCACGTTGTATTAATGAGCATATTTTTATTATAAAGCCAAGCAAGATTTTACCTCTCAGGCATAAAATTCATTATTTAAATGTTTACTTTGAAAAATATTTTTTGAAAAGTATTAACTAGTTGACTGTTGTAACAATGCAAATAAATGTATATTTGCTTTTCTTTTGTTAAACTATTTTTTGAGAAAGTAGTATCAATAAACAAGTGTTAGATGTGAAGTTCATGAGATTCAGAACATATTTTACATTTTGATGTTGTAATTATTAAAAGATTTAAGTGAAATGAAGTAAATCCCTTTTCTAAGAATTGGTAAAGCTGTTGTTCTTACTTAAATATGTAGAAATTAAGCTTCAAAGTAATATTCCAATGTAAACACTCATTTAAAATTTTTTTGTAATATGAAGAGAAAAAAATGAGGTTTATTTTTACCATACCCAATGTTGTTTAAAATAGCAGAGCTGAACATCCTTGGATATTTTTCTTAGATATCCGAGGGCAGAGGTCCTCAAACATTTTCTGTAAAGGGCCAGATGGTACATACTTTTGGCCTTGGGGGCCGTGCAGTTTCTCTGGCAGCTATTGGACTTTGCTATTTTAGGATGAAAGTGGCCATAGACAACATGCGAGTGAATCTGGGTGGCCATGTTCCAGTAGAACTTAAGTTACAAAAACAGGCTGCAGTTTGCCAACTCCTGTCTTAGGGGAATCAAAGCTTGAATCGAGAGATGTTCTGTGAAATTTTGATACTTCTGGAGTGAAACTATTTCCTCATACCTTTCTAAATTCTTTCTACTATACAAGAAAAGAACATTTTATCTACTTTTAATATTAAACTTTGTTTCCTATGTAAAAAGTAATTAGAAATACATGAAAAAAGGGGCACCTGGCTGGCTCAGTCAGTGGAGCATGGGACTCTTGATCCTTGGGGTTGTGAGTTCGAGCCCCACATTGGACGGAGAGATTACTTAAAAATAAAATCTTTAAAAAATAAATACATGAATACATTTAACACCATTTAAAAATATAAATAACAAGCAACAAAGATATTTCTCTCAATGTTGGTAAAATAAGGCTACATTTAAAAGCAATTCACATATTAAAAACAAGAAATTCACATATAACATAGTAAGAATTTGGGCATAATCAGTATATTAAACCAGAACCACTATATATAAACCATATATACTAATTGGAGTAGGAGTAAGAACCCAAATAAGATGATTATCAGAATTAACTGAACTTCAAAATACTTGTGACAACATAGTTACCTTTTCTTAATTATAAATGAATAGTTACAAATGAAAAAAAACAACCTTAAATTGAAGTTAAATCTATTAGTAACTAAAATGGGAACTCCTTGATTCATCTCCTACAAAAAAAGTAAAAGGGGTTGGTGACACAATGAAATCCCCATTAATTAATTTCCTTTTGTAACATTATAGTCATTGAGGATCAGTTCTTCTATTCTGTCATCATCCAAACAAAATATTGCCTTGTCAGTGTTGTTGAGCAGGGTGAACATCTACCCACCCCCTCCACACATTCTTTCCTAGCCTTCCATGCAAGTTTTCTGCTATATACTGTCTTGTTCTAAAAAACAAGTGGTTATGGATACCTTTGTCCTTTATAAAAGCTCTCTAATTTTTTTCAACGAAGAATGAGAGGGTGACTGGGAACATATTATAGAAATAGCTTAAGGACATTAAGTAGGCATTTTTGTGATTCTTAATTGATAAGTTCAGTTTATAGGTTTTCTTAGAAAAATACCAAGAAATTATGAACAATTCAGAATTTTCTCAGAATGGTCATAATTTCCCTAAGCTTAAATTTATTTTCTTAGCTAGACTCTTCAAAAATAGCAAATTAGTGGTAAAAAAGAGGGAAAAAAGGAATTAAAATATTCAGGGACCTTCAAACATTTTACATGAACAATTTATTTTTTTTTATTTTTTTTAAAGATTTTATTTATTTGACAGAGAGAGACACAGCGAGAGAGGGGAACACAAGCAGGGGGAGTGGGAGAGGGAGAAGCAGGCTTCCAATGGAGCAGGGAGCCCAACGCGGGGCTTGATCCCAGGACCCTGGGATCATGACCTGAGCCGAAGGCAGACGCTTCACCGACTGAGCCACCCAGGCGCCCCTATGTGAACATTTATATAAGTTGTTGACATAGTAAAAAATTATCCTTACTGTCTTCCAAGCCTGTGTTAACAGTTTTTAATATTGCCTTATATATTTGAAAGTACTGAACTGAGTATCATATGGTTTAGACTTTCTAAGAATTTGCGTTGACCTTTCTTGTCAAAATTGATAAATATTTTGGCTTAACATAATTCCATGTTCCATGTTGACATACTGTCAGATCTAGTACCTCAGATTTGATTCATTTTCTATTTGAGGGTGTTTTTTCATGCACCACTGTGAAGGGACAGAATCCTTGTGAAACTGCCCTGGCGGAAATAGGTAAAGCTTTCCTTTCTACAGAAAAATGTATCCATATGTTTTTAATTTTAATTTTCATCTTTTTGAAAATTTTACACTTTATTTTCAAAAAGACATTAGTGTTTTAAGTGGTAGAGATCAGAGAGTAGCAATTACTATTGGCCTTTAAAATTGTTTACAAAGTATCTCATACCTCTTGATCAGTAGAATACCTTATATAATTCATATCAAACACCTGTGGTAAGAATTTTTTAAATGAGGACTACAATTCTTTTTTGAAATAAGGATTCTTCTGGTTTATTTAAAAACAACAAAATAAAAAGCATTAAAATTTAAAATTAGAACAAATGTATAGAAACTAATACTACATACTTTGAACATTATTTGAATAACCATTTTCATTCATATATCCAACAAATGCCTTTCTATAATTTTGTAATAAAAGTTCTGACCAAGATTGCCCAAACTATTTGACACAAAGTCTATCTTTGTTCTTTTATTTTGAATTAATGAAGTTTTATATTATGTATTTCCATGAAGTATACTAAACTCAGCTGCTTAAATTATAGCTATAAAACATTAGTTCATTTTACATTGCTTTGCTCATTATTTCTGTGTTTTAAAGTGCCATGTAATTTTCATGTTGAATAAAGGCGGACAATTTAATGCAATGCTACGAATTTATTTATAAAAACAACAAAGTAAGTTTTGATGCTGCATTGCATGATAAAGGCTTTCTGCATATAATTCATGTTATGGTCTTGAGCATGAATCCAGAGATTTTAGATAGCCTTAATATTATTTTGGTGTGCTTTCGAAGTTAAGAATACAGAATATCTAAACTAAGTATATTTGAACACTACATTGCATGATAATGTCTTTTTTGCGTGTATTTTATCCAGCATCGTTACAAAGATTAATCTTATATCCTAAAATGAAAAATACTTTGGAATTCTTTCACGGTAAAGTATATTAAGTGTAAAATATTAAGTAAAATATTTAAGTGTATTTTATTTAAGCTAGAGAGGTTTGAAAGTGTGCTTAGATTTTAAATATGTAACTATTATACTACTGTGGTACCTCATTTTAAATGTTTCTTCATAAGTTTCATCCTTAAATAGTTAAAGTGTGAGCATTTGTAGTCAAATTAACGTGTAAGAGCTTTTTTTGATGCAGTGAATGTTTGAAGTGGGTATTGCAGAAAATCAGATACACTGCTATGAACTGACTGGCTTATTCCTCAGTGCACCCTTACCTGGGGTACTGGACCCAGGGCTACTACTAGTGCATATGGTACCTGTGTGCAAATTGGAAAACCATGACCCTTTGCTTTGAGCCAATGCAGACGCATATCAAGGCAGATTCGTGAGCAGTTTGTTCACTGGATGGATTTTAGTCCTTACTTGTCCAGGGGCCAATTAATAGCTTTGACAATATCAATCATTATAATATATCAATCATTATTCTACATGTAACATAGTCTTTTCCTAACGTTCCCATATATGTTCTAACAAGTTGTCACCAGAGACAAGGCAGTCGGTCCCCATGCTGGGTCTGCAACAAGGTTGAACTTGGGAAGAGAGTAGTTAGACAGGTGCCTTTTCTATTTCAAGGACCAGCTAGCTGGGAAGAAAATGACTCTACCAATTACACGTTAGTGTTCACAAACACACATTTTTGTTGCCTTTTACCCTTTTATGATTTACTTTTTCTTTCTGGGTTGTCCTTAATATTCATTTCATCCTGATTTTCTTTGCATAAAATGGTTAGAAGTCACATAGTATAATTTGTCTTAGTCTTCCTACTCTACAAGTATGGCCTTAACTGTTGCTATAACATTGTCCTTATTTTTCCTTCTTATTTTTTGCATATCTGGTGATTCTCCACCCTTTTTCTTTCCCAGGCCCCTTCTCCTTGTGAGACATCTGAGGCATCCTGTATCTGCCTTCCATCAATCAAAAGAAATCTTTTCCCATTTACAAAAAGTCACTTTACAGTGTCCTCTCTCCCTTAGCCTTCTTGGCCACAGAAACTGTTTACTTGTATATAAACACATATAGCATCTTAAATTACTTACTGGAACACATTTGACAACTTTTATCTGCTTCTCCCTATGTTCTTTTTAGCTTCAGACTTCTACTAGAATACAGATAAGTTCCAAGTTACAGTTTCTTGTTTATGAAAACAGAAATAGATCAAATTAAATGGTTGTATCAAATGTATATGTGAACATATATATACATATACATGTGTTTTGTGCTTTTATTCTTTAAAAAGGACTTAATTTTAAGTATTTTAAAACACCCAGAAACAATGCAGACATGTTAATGGTGACGTCTGTGTACAAAAGTAGTAACAGATCAGTTTTCCACAGTTAAAGAAAAGTACCTGTCATTGTGAAGATATAAATAGATGATTGTGGTATGTTTGTGGTTTTTAAAAAAGCTTGAAGTTTTGCAAATCCTTTGAATTAAATCAAAATCCAAAAGTGAAAATCCTTTTTATTTACATAAGGATTTTAAGTTATAAATAGATAAATCTGTTGAAGAGTAATTTTTTTAATTCTCAAATGATCTTAGTTAATATTTATTGAGCACTTACTACATGCCAGGGGCTGTTCTAAGTGAACTATGTGTAGTAACACTCTTCAACTCACACAGCCTGGTCAAGTACTAATATAACAAGTGGCAGAGCTAGGATTTTAACTCAGAGCCCACGTTCTTAACTACTCAACTTTACCACCTTACAAATAAGCAGTTTAACTTTTTATACTATCTCCTTGAGGTGACCATAACCTAATAAATACATTAACATTAGTTCTCCTGTTCTTATTTCATATTATAAATTTTTATTGCAATGTAACATAGGTGTTCATTATAACAAATAGGTGTATTTCTAAACATGGGCTACAGTGTTCTTTAGAGAGTCCACAAACTTAATACCAATAAAACAGTCTATTTTTTAGGATAATTACTAAGAATAGAATTAAAAGTGGTGATACGTAAATATTAAATAATCTATGATATACTGTAAAACATTTTAAGTGGATACTTAGTTAAGGCAACTATTTTACTATAGTTAATATCGTTGACATGCTTTTTTTCCCTTAGATTGGCAATTTGTGAAATATGCCTTGTACTTATTCTTCATTGTACCATTCTATGGCATAGATTTCCTTGCTGAAACAGAACCTGGAGATGCAGCTTTCCCAGTCTCAGACTTCTTTGCAGCAACTGCAAGCCCAGTTTACACAAGAACGACAACGACTTACCCAAGAGCTTGAAGAATTAGAGGAACAACATCAACAGAGACATAAATCTTTAAAAGAAGCACATGTCCTTGCATTTCAAACTATGGAAGAAGAAAAAGAAAAGGAACAAAGAGTAAGTTTAATGTGATATATGTTCAAAGGTAATCCAATAGCCTAATAATTATTAGCCTTCAAATTCTTAAGAATTCATTTTTTGCCTCCCAAGTTATATATTGCTTTATTTCATTGTGTTTTCTAGAATCTGCCTTCTTGTGGGGGTCAGAATGACTAAACATACACACCAGTTACACAGAATAAGGCCAACATTTTATTTCTGTTTCCCAACATAATGCCGAGTTCATGATGAGACTAATACACCATCTGGTTTGTCATATAGTTAACAGTGGTTAAATAAATTTAGCATGGTCCTACTGAGCTGTAACCACTGTAATCACTTAGTACAATTTTGAACTTTTATAATAGTCTTTCATCAAATTTTTAATTTTTCTCTTTCAGGCTGGATCTAAAAAAGACATATATATATCCAAGGGATTTATATTTTTTTATCCCACATTTTTTAACTTACACTTTTTCCCCCTTATATACAAAGTTCACAATGAAATGAAATTTGGAGACATTTTTAAAATAGTACCTTTCCCTATATACAGCCCCAAAGGCTATGTGAAAATCAGTGATACAGATGGCTCATGCAGAAGAGATTTAAATCAAATAGATACATTATTGGGTTAATCAAATTGTATGCCAGAATCTCCCCATATCCATTACTTCCTTCTCTGTGAAAACACTAGTTTGACATAGTCTTAGGGTAATTAATTTTGGTTCAGTTTATTTCTTTACACCATATTTTTCAATTTCTTCTAAGAACCTTATGATAATTAAGGTAAAGATTTGATAGAAAAATGGGTTTTACTAACAATGATTTTCACCATATATAGTTATTACTGATATAGGTTGCTTTAATCCTTTATTTGGGTGTGGACAACTATTTTAAGAACTGGTAGGCTATAAAGAAATTGTTAAAAAAGTCATATTCCTTTAAAAACCATTAACTTGCCTATACAATAAGTTGTAGTCTCTTTTTTTTTTTTTTACTTTCATCTCTTGATCTTGTCCAGAAAGTTAAGGAAGTTTCTTTGGTCAAAAATGAGGCCTTATTTCCATTTTCCCTGATGAGTATAGATACAGAAACTGTTAACAAAGTATCAGTGAACCAAATTCAACAATACACTGAAAAAATCTGTACACCATGATCACATGGGTTTTATTCCAGGGATACAAGGATGGTTCAATATCTGCAAATCAGTGTAATTACTACATTAATAAATGAAGGATAAAAATCACATGATCATCTCAATAGATGCAGGAAAAGCATTTGACAAAATTCAGCATTCGTTTATGATAAAAACTCTCAACAAAGTGAGTATAGATAGAACATGCCTCAACATAATAAAGGCCATATGTGACAAACCCACAGTTAACCTCATACTTGACAATGAAAAGCTGAAAGCTTTTCCTCTAAGACCAAGAACAAGACAAGGAAGCCCGCTCTCGCCACTTTTATTCAATATAGTATTGGAAGTCCTAGCCACAGCAGTTGGACAAGGAAAAGAAATAAATGGCATCCAAATTGATAAAGAAAAAGTAAAACTATCACTATTTGCAGATGACATGATACTTTATACAGAAAACCCATCATATCAAGAGAAAAGATAAGAACTGTATGATCATTTCAGTAGATGCAGGAAAAGCATTTGACAGAGTACAACACTGAGTCACAATAAAAACCTTCAACAAAGTTGGTTTAGAGGAAACCTACCTCAACATAATAAAGGCTATATATGAAAATACCAGAGCTAACATCATCCAAAATGGGGAAAAACAGAGCCTTTACCGTAAGGTCAGGAATAAGACAAGGATCTCTGCTCTCACCACTTTTATTCAGCATAGTACTGGAAGTCCTAGCCACAGCAGTCAGACAACAAAAAGAAAAGGCATCCAAATCGGGAAGGAATAAGTAAAACTTCTACTGAAGTTATCATCTGCACTATTTGCAGATGATATGATAAAATATATCCGATACTGTATAGAGAAAACCTAAATGACTCCACCAAAAAACTGCTAGAACTGGTAAATGAATTCAGTGAAGTCACAGGATACAAAATTAATGTGCAGAAATCTCTTGCATTTCTATACACTAATAATGAAACAGCAAAAAGTGAAATTAAGAAAACAATCCCATTTGTAATTGTACCAAAAATAATAAGATACCTAGGAATAAACCTAACCAAAGAGGTGAAAGATCTATACTCTGAAAACATTAAAACACTGATGAAAGAAATTGAAGAGGACACAAAGAAATGGAAAAACATTCCATGCTCATGGGTTGGAAGCAAATATTGTTAAAATATCTATACTGCCCAAAACAAACCACACATTTCATGCAATCCCTATCAAAATACCAACAGCATTTTTCACAGAGCTAGAACAAACAATCCTAAAATTTGTATGGAACCACAAAAGACCCCAAAGACCCAAAGCAATCTTGAAAAACAAAACAAAACAAAGCTGGAGGCATCACAATTCCAGACTTTAAGTTATGTTACAAAGCTGTAGTGATTGGAACATTTTAGTACTGGCACAAAAACAGACACACAGATGAATGGAACAGAATAGAAAATCCAGAAATAAATCCACAATTATATGGTCAATTAATCTTTGACAAAGCAGGAAAGAATATCCGATGGGAAAATGTCTCTGCAACAAATGGTGTTGGGAAAACTGGACCACTTTCTTACACCATACACAAAAATAAATTCAAAGTGGATTAAAGACCTAAATGTGAGACCTGAAACCATAAAAATCCTAAAAGAGAGCACAAGCAGTAATATCTCTGACAATGGCCATAGCAAATTTTTCTAGATCGGTTCCTTGAGGCAAGGGATACAAAAGCAAAAATAAACTCTTGTGACTACATCAAAAAAGGAAGCTTCTGCACAATGAAGAAAACACTGAATAGGAGAAGATATCCGCAAGTGACATATCTGATAAAAGGTGAATATTCAAAATATATAAAGAACTTATATAAATCAACACCCAAAAAACACATAATCCAATTAAAAATGGGCAGGAGACATGCACAGACATTTCAGCAGAGATGACACAGAGATGGCCAACAGACCCATGGAAAGATGCTCAACATCACTTATCATCAGGGAAAGCAAACCAAAACTACAGTGAGATATCACCTCACACCTATCAGAATGGCTAAAATCAGTGACACAGGAAACAATCGGTATTGGCAAGGATGTGGAGAAAAAGGAACCCTCTTGCACTGTTGGTGGGAATGCAAACTGGTACAGCCACTATGGAAAACACTATGGAAGTTCCTCTAAAAGTTAAAAATAGAACTACTCTACAATCCAGCAGTTGCACTATTGGGTATTTACCCAAAGAATACAAAAACTAATTCAAAAGGATACATGCAGCCCTATGTTTGTAGCAGCATTATTTAAAACAGCCAAGATATGGAAGCAGCCTAAGTGTCTATCGATAGATGAATGGATAATGAAGATGTGGCATCTGAGTAATGAAATATTACTCAGCCATTAAAAGAAGTGAAATCTGCCATCTGTGACAACATGGATGGACCTAGGGGCTGTTATATTAAGTGAAATAAGTTAGAGAAAGGCAAATACTGCATGATTTCACTTACCCATAGAAAATTTTAAAAGCAAAACAAATGAACAAACAAAACCTAAACAGACTTATAAATACAGAGAACAAACTGGTGGTTGCCAGAGGGGATGAGGTAGGGGGATGGGCAAAATAGGTGACAGGGATTAAGAGGTACAAACTTCCAGTTATAAGACAAGATATGGGGGGGATGTAGTCAGTAATATTGTAATAACTTTGGTGACGGATGGTAACTAGAATTACCATGGTGGTTATTTCCTAGCATTCATCAGTGTTGAATCACTGTGTTGTACACCTGAACCTAATATTGTATGTCAACTGTACTTCAATATAGCCCATAAACACACAATGAGGCCTGACTGGTAAATAACCTATTCACTGATATCATTTGTGAATTAAAACACATAAGCTCTTGTATCAGTACTTTAATTTTACACTTTCAGTCTCTTTGAAACCTGAATCCTATTCAGAAGAAATCAGAGCATGCAATTTTATAGTTGTCATTAGGTAGCCAAGCTACCTATGTAACTAATGTCTAAACTAAAAGTCCTTTATATTGTTACATTTAAAGAAACCTGTGTGTTTTTTTTTAAAGATTTTATTTATTTATTTGACAGAGAGAGACACAACGAGAGAGGGAACACAAGCAGGGGGAGTGGGAGAGGGAGAAGCAGGCTTCCCGCTGAGCAGGGAGCCCGATGCGGGGCTCGATCCCAGGACACTGGGATCATGACCTGAGCCGAAGACAGACGCTTAACGACTGAGCCACCCAGATGCCCCAGAAATAAAACACTTTAGAAACAGTGAGCATAAGTAGCCAAATATTAATTTATAAAAACAGTATTTTAGAGTAATGGTTAAAGAAATATAACCCTAATTACAACATGGTATCTTTCTCAGAAACCCTTCATGTTGCAGATTATGCTAAGGAAAACCCATCCTGGCACAGTTCAGTCTCTAAACTTGAAGTACCCTGAGCTCTCTTTTTTCCCATGGCCACATAGCTTCTCTTAGTCTCAGCCACATGTAGTCTGTTTTCTCTGGTCAGGCTTTTAGAACTAATCACACAAGAGGTTTGTTTACTTTTCCACTTACCTACTCTCATACCTTTGCTTCTGTTCGAAAATGCCTGCAGAAAGTTGCGACAAAATATTTGATAAGGTTGGAGTTGTAAAAGCCATCATCATCTCTTTCTGATCAGAAGATCTTTTCTTGTTAATGCCCCTCTCCTCTCTTCTCTTTCCTAAGTTTGTGCACACAGAGAAATTACGCATTAATTTAGGTGGCTTACCCCCTCAGCAACTTGACAATGACTTTTTTTTGAAAACTACCTTAAAGGGCCCACCCATATCCCAATTCAGACACACTATATTGAATCAAACTGATTTCAAAAGGATTGTTCTATTGAAGTGACCCTACTAATTTATTTTCTAAAGGTCATTAATCTTATATATAATTTTCTTGAAAATGAATTACAAATGCCTTGTTTTTCTTAAATAACTGAGTTTTAGTAATTTTTTATTTTGTTTGCATTTTCCTTCCTGTATTGTAGCATAATAATTTGGGTATGTTTCTCCTGTTTTAGGCTCTTGAAAATCATTTACAACAAAAACATTCTGCAGAGCTTCAGTCATTAAAAGATGCACACAGAGAGTCAATGGAGGGCTTCCGGGTAGAAATGGAACAGGAACTTCAGACTCTTCGGTTTGAATTAGAAGATGAAGGAAAGGCTATGCTTGGTATTTTGAAAGGATTATAATATTCGTATTTATATGTTCTACTTTAAAATTCAATATGAAATCACAGCTTTATTTTTAATTTTTGAAACACCAAAATGAATATCTAAGTGTTTTGGATATTTAAAGTTACCAGATGAAGAGGTGAGGATGGAGGAGTAGAATGGATAGAACAGAAACAGTGAGGTGAGGTCCCCTCAACTTTCTCCATACTCTGGCTATGTAAACAACATCCACTGGTGCTGCTACCTACCACTAAGGGACTAAATGGAGTCAGGACATTCAGACTTTCCACTCTCCAGTGACTAAAAGAAGTAGATAGGCATGGAGCCAACATGTCCTTAGACTTGATAGTCATATGTTTATTTTCCACTTCAGGATTTTGTTTTTAGGAGAAAACTCATGTTTAGGTCTGACTTTTTGTCTAGGTATTTTTCAGATATTTCTTTAACAGGATTTTAATCTTTGAAGTATTCAAATTACTGCCTTTTTTATAAGGAGATCAGTTGAGGTTTGAAGAAAAACTGTATACGTATTTAAAGAGTTTTTGGAGGTTTTTTTGGTGTCGTTCAATAACTTTTATTCCTACCATCTCATTTTCCTTTTGTTTTTTCCCCCTAATTCTTTTAAGAGTTTTTATTGTATGTTGTCACATTTCAGGGGTATACCCTTTCCAAGTAGGAATTGGGAACAAAGAAGACCAAAGTGTTGTGGATACTTTGGGCCCCAAAGGCAAAGCCGTCTGACCCAGTTCATTGTCTCTACTATTGCTGGGAGCCCTAGGCCAAGTCATCAGAACTCTCTCCTCTTCCTCCTTTACCAGCCACTGTGATAGCTAGGGTGAAAATCATAGTGAGACTATTTATCAGACATTTGTGTGATACCTCTTTACATGCTACAGAAACTGCTGAGCAAGGAGAATTCAAAAATGAACTGTTGCTCTGTATTTATATAGAAGGAGCTTATAGTCAAATGCAGAGGTAGTCTGTAAGATTCTGGTCCAAGGGACCACAGACTTTCCCCAGCTGTGTGAGGAGAAGTAAAAACAGGCCAAATGTGGGACGCCTGGGTGGCTCGGTCGGTTAAGCGTCTGCCTTCAGCTCAGGTCATGATCCCAGGGTCCTGGGATCGAGTCCCGAATCGGGCTCCCTGCTCCGCGGGGAGCCTGCTTC